TTTTTTTATATTTCATTCTTATTTTTTTTTTTTAAGATTATTGACTTTGCTTATTTTATAAGAAATCGACATTGATATATTTAAAAAAAATGTTTATATATTATAAATAACACGTTTGAGCCCCTCTTACATCATTTACAGCCCAAGCTCATATCTGAAAATCGCAATAAGAAATCCTTTATGCTGTTTTTCGCACTCAACTTCGATAATATCTTGAGTTCAAGTGGAAGTTTATGCATTTCAATTAAAAAGAAAGCCGTATATCCAGGTGGCTGCCTGCGAGCGTTGCATTTATTAAGAAACAATGCTTGCAGGATATTAAAATGTTGCATGCAACAACGTGAGAGGGAAACACGACAACAAGGCAACATGAATATTGGCAATGCACGTTAATTAAGCCTGACATTGTATGTGAGTATGTGTGTGTGTGTGTTTGTTGCTGCGTGTGTGCGTGTGTGTGTGAATCAAAATACGTAAATACGCATATCGCTTATCACGAGGCATGCAGCATGTGGCGCCGAAATGCCAGCAGCAACGTTAATATGCAAGTGCAACTGCCAAGGGCAGCGAAGTTTCGCTGCGGTTCTTTTGTGCCAATGCAATTAAATGCCAACTGCAGCCCATAACGATAATGAGCAGGTAAACAACAATGCAGCTGCCCCATATTGTGTTTCATGTGGCATCATGAATTGTAATATTCAATGCGAATTGTAGCTGCTATCATTTGATGTGGCATTTGTGGGCGATGCGGGGTGCGGTGGCAGCAGCCTTGTCTCATTGCCAGCATGCGTAACTAGTTGATTGGCAGCCAAAACTCAAGTGATTAATCATGCAATTTGGCATGCAGCCGTGAATCCCATACTTATCTCTCACTCACTCAATCATTCACTTACGCTCTCTCTCTCTCTCTCTCACTCTCTATCTCTCACTTACTGTCTCTCTGTCCATCTGCCTCTTTGCAGCCATCACAGTTAACAGCAACGCAACAGGGCCCCCCAAGGGGCGCCTCGGATACCCAAACAGGAAGAGGAAGGAAGACAAAGCGTAACGAAAGCAAAAACACAAAAGTAGCTGTAAGTACATGAATATACCGTAAAAAGCTTTAAATTACATTTGAAAGTAACTGAAAAATACATTTGTCGTGTGCAAAAGTCCCTGGAATGTACGATAGTAGAAAATTACTTAAAGCCGCTTTTCATGGAATTCGCAGTGAGAAATGATAAAGAAATTACTGGAATTTCAAGTTTTAGCACATTAGTCTTCAATCAGTCATAGTGCGTAAGCAGCTCAGGTGTATTTATATAAAGCTAAAGATAGAAATTTTCAGCTGAAAAAGTCAATTTAATATAAATTTGTGTCAAGTCGATTTCCAATTATATTACAAACTGTCTTCTTGTCTCACTTAAAGCTGGATTTCTTTGATATATTTAAAGGAATTTTTCTCTCTTATAAAGTCATCATCAATCAGTTGGTCAATCATTCCATCCATTCAGTCTGTCCATTTCAATTGGTCAAGCAAGTGTAGTAAAATTTGTATATCGTATAGCTTATTAGAGTATTTGACATCAATTAAATCACTATAAAAGCGAAAATAGTTTGCACATTTATTTAATATAAACAAGAAATGAAAGCTTTTAAGGATTTCTTCTCTTTTAGTGAAACTTGAACAATTTGTTTGTTTGCATTAAATGAAAGCTTGTTTTCAGTTTTCTTGCAAGTTTTCTTTGCCTTAGCAAAGTGTGAAAAGTTTTTCGCTTTCTGTTTAGTTGGGCAAACGTTCTCGCTTTCACACATACTCTACTGCAGTCTGTGAAGTTGCAGCCTCTGTCTGGCTGTTATTTATAGCTCGAGTATTTGCACTTCTATTCTGAGGCGTCTGCACTCCGTTGTAGTTAAAAAAATTCTGGGCAAAACGCATTAACTATTTTTAGCGCCTGTCGCCGTTCCAAGGGAATACGACCTTGAGCTCTTGCTGTGCCCGCTCAGCGCTCAGAGCTCTTCCATTTTGGGCTCACTCTGCTCCAACCTCTTCGTGCCTTTGTTCGTCTCACGCTGACTTGTGCCACATGGCAGCTAATGGACCCCTTTGTTTGTTTSTCTTCATAAATAAAGTCAATTTTATTCTTTTTCGGCGAAAATTTTGTTGCGAAAATTTGTGCAGCGTCATTGCGCGCTAACGGAAAGACAGCTGCAAAAGCGAAATTATGGCTAAAGTATCTATAAGTTGCAACAAACTAGGGCGTCATTTACAAAAAACCCAATGTGCGTTCCAGTTTCTGTTCAATGGAGTGTATTTTTAGGTTTATAGTGAGGCACCAGAAAAATAAGTGCCTACAGATAGAGATTCATCTATAATTACAGATTTAATTAGACAGGGAGATACTAATACATCTAGATAGAGAGATACAGATACAGATACAGATACAGATACAGATACAGATACAGATACAGATACAGATACAGATACAGATACAGATACAGATACAGATACAGATACAGATACATATATAGATACAGATACATATACATATATATCTATGGCTGTATCTACAGCTACATATGGAACTACAACTATACATACAGATACATTTACATACACATTTAGATACACAAATGCAGATACTTAAGATGCTAACGGAAAATGCCGGCAGCTTTATAAATAGTTCGTCATTTAATGACGTCAACGGATGCTCAGGGAGAATTGCGATCTTTCTCTCTCTGTCTCCCGCTCTCTCTCTGCGTATGAGCGTGTGCGTGCGTATCTATGTGTGCGTGTGTATCTGTGTGAGTGTTGGGCAAATTACATTATTGCTGTGGGCAACAATTAGCCGCGCTTTCTTTTGTGGCCGCACATCAAAACAAAACAATGTGAAAACTTCAATTCGATTCACACACGTGCAGCACACACGAAATGTAACTCATTAATGAGCTGCTGTGCATAGCCAGCGATATAATGCATAGATACAAGAGATTTACACACACACAGACACACACACACACTCAGTGATACGCTCACACACACATGTGCGAGTCGTTGCCAAGAATATCTTTTTGCGTTCGTATTTCGATCGCACGTTTNGATACAGATACAGATACAGATACAGATACAGATGCAGATACAGATACAGATACAGATACAGATACAGATACAGATACAGATACAGATACAGATACAGATACAGATACAGATACAGATACAGATACAGATACAGATACAGATACAGATACAGATACAGATACAGATGCAGATACAGATACAGATACAGATACAGATACAGATACAGATACAGATACAGATACAGATACAGATACAGATACAGATACAGATACAGATACAGATACAGATACAGATACAGATACATATATAGATACAGATACATATACATATATATCTATGGCTGTATCTACAGCTACATATGGAACTACAACTATACATACAGATACATTTACATACACATTTAGATACACAAATGCAGATACTTAAGATGCTAACGGAAAATGCCGGCAGCTTTATAAATAGTTCGTCATTTAATGACGTCAACGGATGCTCAGGGAGAATTGCGATCTTTCTCTCTCTGTCTCCCGCTCTCTCTCTGCGTATGAGCGTGTGCGTGCGTATCTATGTGTGCGTGTGTATCTGTGTGAGTGTTGGGCAAATTACATTATTGCTGTGGGCAACAATTAGCCGCGCTTTCTTTTGTGGCCGCACATCAAAACAAAACAATGTGAAAACTTCAATTCGATTCACACACGTGCAGCACACACGAAATGTAACTCATTAATGAGCTGCTGTGCATAGCCAGCGATATAATGCATAGATACAAGAGATTTACACACAYACAGACACACACACACACTCAGTGATACGCTCACACACACATGTGCGAGTCGTTGCCAAGAATATCTTTTTGCGTTCGTATTTCGATCGCACGTTTGTTTATTTGTATTTCGGACGTCGTTGCGCTCTATATGCATATATATAGCTACACACGCACACACACGCACACATACACACACACATTTTGTATATATTTAAAATATTATACACTGCTCTTGTTTTTCCTCATATTATTTTTTCGCTTTTCTGCCTTTGGGCTTCATGTGCTTGGCAATTTTCAATTTTCACTTGGCTTCAGTCGGTTCTTACATTTCCAATCGAATTCTACGAGGCGCGTTGCAAAAACAAAAACTCGCAGCGCATTTATTTTTATAATTTACATATCTTAAAGTATATAACAATATAACAAAAATTATTAAAAAAATTTAAATTTTGTTTGATACAAAAATAAATATATAAAAAAAAAAAATCATTTAAAATTTAATGTGAGCGAGAAAAGTTAACAAAGTGAAACATCTTTGGCCGAAGAAAAATATTTGAAATATTCGAAATAAATTATAAATAGTTGAAGATATACCGTTACGTTTTGAAAAGTTCATAAATCTAGTTTTGAGTTTTGAAGCCAATTGCATTTTATGATTGCCCCTGAGTGTTGCTTTGACACAGCAGCAGCAACAGCAGCAACAGCGGCGGCAACTGCAAGAGCAGCAACAGCAGCAGAAACATTTTACATCGTCTATTGGTGAGTTTATTTTTGCTGTGATACTCGCTCTTGGGGTTGTGGGTGTATTAGGTTTTATGAAAGGAACTTACATAAATTCGTGTAGGTACGACTTCGACTACTAGCAGAAGGTTATTAGATTATATACTAAAGTCTTATCATTTTGCAGTCATGTCTGTTTGACTTTATTGGACTATTCAAATTATTTATGGCTACGCCTACTGACTAACAAGAAAAGAAACAACTATACAGTCTAAAAACTAGATATAGACCTTGGAGCATGTACATCTGTATTCATAACTGACGCATATAGAGGATATGATATAAGTATGTGTATATATGTATATACCATGTCATATACATCGAATATTGATCACGTCTATATGATAAGTACAGCTATGACAAATGTAGTCGATATATAGGCATAGGATATATATTGATGCCTATAGGATATATACGTATATACATACTTATAGGTATTATTTTTCCCATAAGCACTTAGTATAGATACAGCTATATATGTATATAATAAATATACTATATTTATGCCTCTTTCAATGATATATCTATTATTGTTATCTTTTGTACAATCTAGAGCTCATGTTGTACTATAACCGAGTACTGTGTACTGAGTACTCTAAGCACTGCTCACACTTAACCTACGAAAAGTCATATCTATAAACCTACCACAAATTGTTTAATTGAGCATTGATTTTGAGCGCGCATTGGGCAGTCACTTATACCCGACCAAATGCATACTCTGTTTCTTTTTTAGCGGTTTCGTGGCTGCGGTTTAGCATTTCGCTGGCCCTGCCAAATGTTTGACCCAAATATTTCGCTGCAATTCCGTTCAGTTTTCTGTGTTTTTTTTTTCTTTGTATTTTGTTTTTACTTTTGTTTGTTGCCTTTGTTGTTGTTTGTTACTTTTCTGACAGGCAATCGCTTTAGAGATCTATCAAACTAGCCGTCGATTTTTGTCACTTGCGACAGCTGGCGAAAAGTTTTGACCCATTTTCAGAAATTTCGCCAAAAAATTGATGAATGGCCCAAAATTGGAAACGCACTGAAGTTGATTGCGGCTGCAGCCAAAACTGGCAAACATCCAGGGTCAAATAGATGTAGTATAGGCAAGCATACATGTATATGTATGCATACATATATAGTTTATATAGTTGCAAGTCTTTGAACCCATTTGCAATGAACTGCAAATTTACGCATTTCCGTTTCCTTTAGCCATGCAAAAACCGACAGACGTTTGTCACATAATTGGCTAAATTTAATTGCCAAGGCTAATACGTTCTCTACAGCTCGCTAGTACATGTACATATATACACATACATATATATATAT